AGACACTGTTCAGAATTAATGAGGGTACCTGCAACGATGCTGGCAAGCTGTTGGGTTCTGGTGATAGGGTAGATGCTGCGTGCCTGAACGATTGCTGAAGCGATTTTCTTGGCATGTTTCTCCTCCCCGTATGTTCTCAGGATGGATGCAAGTGCTTGTTGATCTAAAGCGTTCACAACATCAGCAGCGGTGGGCATGTCAGGATACCTACGCACAAGAGGAGCCAATTAGTTCACTGACGTCAATTTTCATTGACAAGAGGTGAAACTTAAGAGTGCTGAGAAATAAAGTCAGGCACACACACATGGTGTAGGAGAACTTCTGAGGTTTTTAAAGTCAGAGACTGAAATCTTACATGAATGAAATAGATTTTTCCATTTAGAATACTTATCATTATGACAAGTGGGAACTTTTAGTGACATTCATCAAGGTCAAGGGCAGCAAGAAGTTAAGGTATTTTATTAAACTTTAACTTTATTTCATAAAAAAGAATTTTTATTGCTAAAGAAGATTTCCTGTAAACTAAAATAATGGAAAATATTTGGATTTAGTATTTTGTTGTTTTTTTTTTTTAAATTCAAATTACTATTTGATTTTTCTTCTTTTTCTTTCTAGTATAGAAAACATAAGGCTTACTTACTGATGACATTTGAAAGACCCTAGATATCAGGAATTTAAATAAATCTGAGACTGCTAAAATAATTGATGAGTTATGTGGGGCATGAATTGAACTTAGAAAGTCTATATAATAAGACAATGCTGCCCAGTTTCCCTCACAAAATTCAGAATAATTATTAAGATAGTAAATGAATTTTTTTTTTATTTTCAATTCACAATATTGGATCATCCACCAAGTAGTACTGAACAAGTCTAGACATTACTTTCAGGTGGAGAAAGAAAGAAACATCATCTTTAGGACAAATTATTAGAATTATAGTAGCAAGAAATCACATTCACTAAAACCAAATCTTCTCTGTAAACTTTCACATAATTCAAAATAAAAAGTTTTTTTTAAAAAAGGGTAGATGGCCTTGGTTTAGCATGCTAGCAAAATTTGGAGTGAAAGATGTTGCAGTGCAGTGGATTGCTTCACATAGCTCTTCTAAAATCCATAGTCTTTGTAACTCACACCAAACAACTTTTTCCTGATGAGTCTGGGTAAGAAGAAAAGGTAGAGGTAGATGCTGACAGAATGATATAATTCAGCTGTGATTTTTCAAAGAATTATGATTGTAAAAATTTGAAACTCTAGCATAGTTTGAAATTAGTCATCTCAGAAACAGGAGTGGGGTATTTTCACTACCATCAAAGAAGAGGAGTCAGGAGTGGAACAATTCCTTTGGACCCTGAAATCCGTGAAATTGTGACATCAGCAGATTGGCAGAGGAAAGCAGCAGCAAAGCCAAGAGCCAGATCATGAGACAGAGTAATGGACTTCCCAGCCCATGGAACAAATAAAGCTAAGTTACTTTGCACAGGAGTCTTGCTTGCAGAGTGGGGGTACATCCAGGCACTTATTGGGGAACCTAGGTTTGCTGATCCAGGGAGCTAGAATTGAATGCCTTCATGTTGAAATTTATGGTGGCGTGATATCGGTGGGCAGTATTCAGCAGACTGCAGTTGTTTGAACAGAATATGGGAACACTGAATGGTTTAAAATTAAGAAAGGTGTGTGACAAGGTTGTATTCTTTCACCATACTTATTCAACCTGTATGCTGACCAAATAATCTGTGAAACTGGCTTATATGAAGAAAAATATGGCATCAGGATTGGAGGAAGACTCATTAACAACCTGTGATATGCAGATGATACAACCTTGCTTGCTTAAAGTGAAGAAGACTTAAAACATTTACTGATGAAGATCAAAGAGCACAACTTTTGGTATGGATTGCATCTCAATGTAAAGAAAACAAAAATCGTCACCACTAGACCAATAAACAACCTTCTTATCAATGGTCGCTATGAGCTGAGGGTCACTATGAGGTGGAACCAACTTGATGGCACTTACCAACAACAGTAGATGGAACCCTGTTAATAATGGGTTCCTAATGCTGTGGAGTCCTGATGTGGCACTGTGGGTTAATGAGCTGGACTGCAAGGTTGCAGTTCAAGCTCACCTGCCGCTCCTTGGAAACTGTATAAGGGGTCACTATAAGGTGGACCCAACTTGATAGAACTTAATAACAACAAGAATGTGGTGCTGTAGAATCAGCAATGGAATGCAAACCAAAAAATCAGAAGTTCAAACCCACCAGCTACTCCTTGGAAACCCTATACATGGTCTCTACAGTCAGAACTGATTCCATGGCACTTACCAATAATAATAATGGTAAATACAGATTCCATGGGATACAGTCTGGCTCGATCAGGACATTTCTAAGATTATTATTGATATACTTGAAAGTTTCAATGTTAAGTTATATTAAAGTAAGCTTTAATATAAGATTATTAAAAGCATTTTGTTCAAAAGGAGTTCAGTGGGCAATTGGTGTAATTTTATTTTACTCTAATATTAACATTCACTTTTACTAGAAATCTTGGTATGGTGCTCTAGAATAAGCACTGGACTGCTAACTACAAAGTCAGTGGTTCAAACCTGTCATTCGCTCCACTAAAACACTTTACAGGGTCGCTATGAGTGAGAACCAACTGTTGTTGTTGTCAGGTGCCATCGAGTCAGAACC